TTCGGTTTTACATTTGTCTTTTGTTCAGTTGATGTGGCACCCATTTTCCTTCCTTTAAAATCTTTCCATTGCTTGTAAATGATCGTAAATTGTTTGTTGAGCAACGTTTAGTCTTTCTACAAGTTGTTTTTTAGTTTGACACGCATCTTTATCCAATAATGCTTGTAATTGTTGGTCTTCAAACTTTTTCAGTTGACCTCGACGTTCTTTGTCTTTCACATAGAAATCATCACTTTTAAAGCGTTTAAACCAGTGTTCACAAGTATCTTGAGATGGAGCATGTTCACCATTAGCTTCCCAAAGTATACGATAACTTTTTCTTCAAAATAAAGTAATGAATTAAAACTTCCCGCAAATGCTCTTTTTTTGGCAAGAAATTTGACATTTTTAAGCGTAAAAATATCTATGATGTTAACACCTTCAGCAAATTTGACATATGAAGTTTTGAAGCTTGTTGTCAATACAATAAAATAGCATACATATCAAATCGCATATATATCAACATATGTGTAACTCCATCTATTGAAAAAAATCCGCATTATTAACTGGTACACCTAGTAATCAATATCCACACTGAATGCAGCCAGGATAATAGGGTGAAATGAACCAAGCCAGGTACAAAACAAGGTAGGCAAGTGCCGTGGTAGATTGCAGCTGTAACAATGGAGAGAGGTAGAATAAGTAAATGTTTTGTACTTAAGAAAAAGTGGAGGGCCTGGCCGGTGTAGCTCAGTGGTTGAGTGTTGACCCATGAACCAGGTTTTGATTCTTGGTCAGGTCACATGCCTGGGTTGTGGGCTCGATCACCTGTGGAGGGGCAGGTGTGCAGGAGGCAGCTGATCAATGGTTTTCTCTCATCATTGATGTTTCTATCTCCCTTTCCCTTCCTCTCTCTGAAATCAATAAAAACATTAAAAAAAAGAAAGGAAGAGGTACTGATAAGTGCAGTGAAATAATAGTTTGTAATCCACAATTGAGGGAATAGTGTATTTTCAAAAAGTAAGAAAAACATTTTGATAAATAATATTCAGAAGTTTTATTGTTTACATGTGTTTCTTTTCCTAAGGCTAACTTTGTGTAGTGAATGTGCTGCCCAATAAATAAGAATATTTGATCTATGCAAGGAGGAACTTTTGCCTCCCTGACTGCATGTTTACAATCTTCAAAGGGTAGGAAATGCATTGGTCTTTATTTTTGTGATCTGAGCCCCAAACAGTGCCAAGCACATGTATGCTCAATATATATTTACTGAAGGCTCAATAAAGTGGAGCATATTGAAAGAGCTGCTCATAAATAATTAGCACTTGGAATTGAAATTTATATAGTACTACAGATAAGAAAATTTTTAATCAATTTGGTTCTTATGCCCTGGAATGCTATGAAATATTTCAAGGTCAGGGTAGGGCCCTAGTAGGCTGTAATGAAGGCTATTTACCTCAGTAGATCATTTTAGTATTTTATTTTCTTTTTTCCCCCAAAAAATATAAGGTAAGATCTAGCATACCAGGTGCGGTGGCCTTTTCTGAAATGAAAATGTTGCTTCATTCTCTTGTACCTTTGATAATTCTTCCTTCCTTGTAGAAAGAAGTTCAGGCTTCATAACATGGTATCTTCTATAATAATAAAAGCATAATATGCTAATTACACCGGACAGCCGAACAACCTTCCAGATGAAGCCTCAGCAGCGGGGGCCAAGGCAGAAGTGTTTAGCTTCGATCAGGCAGGCGAGCAGTTAGGGGCAATCAGGCAGGCAGGCAGAGGGGTTAGGGGCGATCAGGCAGGCAGGTGAGTGGTTACGGGGAAAAGGCAGGCAGGCAGAGGCGGTTAGGGGGATAAGGCAGGCAGGCAGAGGTGGTTGGGGGATAAGGCAGGCAGGTAGAGGCAGTTAGGGGCGATCAGGCAGGCAGGCAGAGTGGTAGGGGCAATTAGGCAGGCAGGCGAGCAGTTAGGGGCATCAGGCAAGCATGCAGAGTGGTTAGGGGTGATCAGGCAGGCAGGCAGAGGCGGTTAGGGGCGATCAGGCAGGCAAGAGAGTGGTTCGGGGCGATCAGGCAGGCAGGCAAGTGGTTAGGGGTGATCAGGCAGGCAGAGGTGGTTAGCGGCAATCAGGCAGGCAGGCAGGCCAGCGGTTAGGAGCCAGTGGTCCCAGATTGCGAGAGGGATGTCCGAACCCTGTGGGATTGGGCCTAAACTGGCAGTCAGACATCCCCTGAGGGGTCTCGGATTGCAAGAGGGTGCAGGCCGGGCTGAGGGACACCCCCCTTCCCCACACAAATTTTGTGCACCGGGCCTCTAGTGTAATAAAAGGCCAATATGCAAATCGACCGAACGGCAGAACCACCAGTCGCTATGATGCGCACTGACCACCAGGGGGCAGACACTCAACACAGGAGCTGCCCCTGGTGGTCAGTGCATCGCTCAGCCAGAAGCCAGGCTCACAGCTGGTGAGAGCAATGGCGGTGGCAGGAGCCTCTCCTGCTTCCGCAGCAGTGCTAAGGATATCCGACTGATGGCTTAGGCCCACTCCCCATGGGAAGCAGTACTAAGCCATCAGTCAGACATCCCCCCAGGGCTCCCAGACTGTGAGAGGGCACAGGCCGGGCTGAGGGACACCTCCTCCCCCGAGTGCACGAATCTCGTGCACCGGGCCTCTAATACACACACACACACACTCTCTCTCTCTCTCTCTCTCTCTCTCTCTCTCTAATCTGGTCCCTTACCCACATTTTCAGTCTTAAAGTTTGTTTTCCTAGTCTTCAGTTAAATGCCACAAATATGTATTGATCCCTTACTGTGTCCCAGCTATGACATTCAGCTATACTAGTATAGTTTTTCCTCTATGTCTTAAAATTTTCTGCCTCCTTACTTTATTACACAATTTATCCTGTACTCAGTCCTCTCTTCTCCCCACTTACTTCATCCATCTAAATGCTAGCCTTTTAAGACCCCCCTCCTTCCTCATTCTTGTATCAAGAATGTTCTTTGTTTATTTCTCACATATAGTACTAACACAAATAAAAAATATATTCATCTGCTTCTCAGCAGCCCAATAATGAACTTCTTGAGAGCTGTGAATTGTCATTTCTAAACCTTTATTTTCCCTGTAGCCTTTCATAAATGGTTGTAGTACTGTATCTTTAAGGGAGAAATGGTAAACCATAGTATGAGGTGATTACAACTGCCTTAAAGAACTATGAACATGTATATGTCACAATTCATTCCATCTCTTTACTTTCAATATCATTCTGTTTTCAAGATTCTTCTTACTTTTAGAATATGGTATATGTGGTAATTTGATCTGATAGTCTTAGTCAAAATGGACAGTGGTCCCAGAATTTCTTGACTGCAGTGTGTAAGCCACCTTTTCAAATAAAATTTTATTCTCTAAGCAGTATTTGATGAGGAAGGAGGTCATCAGAGATCCATAGTGAGAAGAATAAAGAATTTTAATTGATAGCTATTTCAGAAGGAAGACAGCAGTTATACATCTTCTAAGATTTTGGTGGTAGTGGTGAGATCTGGCACTGTGTACCTGAGTCTTATTTTTTTGTTTGTTTTTTTTTTTTTGAGGAAACTCCATACTGTCTTCCATAGTGGCTGCACCAGTCTGCATTCCCACCAGCAGTGCACAAGTGTTCCTTTTTCTCCACATCCTCTCCAGCACTTGTCGTTTGTTGATTTGTTGATGATAGCCATTCTGACAGGTGTGAGATGGTACCTCATTGTTGTTTTGATTTGCATCTCTCGGATGATTAGTGACTTTGAGCATGTTTTCATATGTCTCTTGGCCTTCTGAATGTCCTCTTTTGAAAGGTGTCTATTTAGATCCTTTGCCCATTTTTTGATTGGATTGTTTATCTTCCTTTTGTTAAGTTGTATGAGTTCCCTATAAATTTTGGAGATTAGGCCCTTATCAGATATGACATTGGCAAATATGTTTTCCCACGCAGTGGGTTTTCTTGTTGTTTTGTTGATGGTTTCTTTTGCTGTGCAGAGCTTTTTATTTTGATGTAGTCCCATTTGTTCATTTTCTCTTTAGTTTCAAGTGCCCTAGGAGCTGTATCAGTGAAGAAATTGCTTCGGCATAAGTCTGAGATTTTGTTGCCTTTGGATTCTTCTAGTATTTTTATGGTTTCCCGTGTTACATTTAAGTCCTTTATCCATTTTGAGTTTATTTTTGTGTATGGTGTAAGTTGGTGGTCTAGTTTCATTTTCTTGCATATATCCATCCAATTTTCCCAACACCATTTATTGAAGAGACTATCTTGGCTCCATTGTATGTTCTTGCCTCCTTTGTCGAATATTAATTGAGCATATTGGTTCGGGCCGATTTCTGGGCTCTCTATTCTATTCCATTGATCTATATGTCTGTTCTTGTGCCAGTACCAGGCAGTTTTGAGAACAGTGGCTTTGTAATACAGCTTGATATCTGGTATTGAGATCCCACCTACTTTGTTCTTTCTCAGGATTGCTGCAGCTATTCGGGGTCTTTTTTTATTCCAGATGAATTTTTGGAGAGTTCGTTCTAGATCTGTGAAGTATGCCATTGGTATTATTTTTTTTGACAAATCTAATACCTCATCTCCTTTTCAACTTGTTTGTCTGTTCTTAGAGCAGGGGGAGAGGAGTGTGAAACTTTATGTGCCAACAGCTTTTTTTTTGAGGGGGGGAAACAATTTTAATGAAGAGGGTACTTATCCTTGATGCAGTATAGTATTTTATACTCTCTTTTATTAATACTCATATATATTATAGACATCTCTTTTATATGTGTTTATCAGTTTCTCATTGTAATATAATGTAATATAACAAAAGATTTATCAATTTAAAGGTAAAAGTAGTCATTTACAGTACTTCCAGTGCTTATTTTGAAACTTATAACTTAAAACCCTGTAAGCTAAATTATAAAGAGGTTATAATCGAGGACTTAAATTTTATGTTTTCTTTTGTTACTGTCAGGAAGAGTTCCAGATTCATTGTAAATCTACTTTATTTTATAGGCCTATGAAGAATACACCAGCAAGCTAGATGCCCTCCAACAAAGAGAACAACAGTTATTGGAATCCCTGGGGAATGGAACTGATTTTTCTGTTTCTAGCTCTGCATCAACGGACACCGTTACATCTTCTTCCTCTTCTAGCCTTTCAGTGCTACCTTCATCTCTTTCAGTTTTTCAAAATCCCACAGATGTGTCACGGAGCAACCCTAAGTCACCACAGAAACCTATTGTTAGAGTCTTCCTGCCCAACAAACAGAGGACAGTGGTGAGTCTACTTTTAATATCATCATTGCCTTTTCTTTGTATTTTTCAGAAAGACCACTTGTTGAAAATGAAATATATCATCACTTTATACTCAGTGGTCTTACAAATTGAAGCATTTCAAACAAGGGAGGAAAAGACAATTATTTGGTGCCAAAGTCTGTGTTCTTTAACTATAACAAATAGTATTGTTTTTAGTGTCAGATTTGACATTTAATCTTACCTACAAAACTTGAACCATGCTCAAGTTTAAGTACTAGTTCAGAATCAATAAGAATTTTAAGACTAGTGCTTGCTTGTTGTCTAACATCTATCAGGTAAGATTCATTCTTCACCCTTGAGAATTCTCTATTTGGATTTATTTTTCCTCTTGTTTATATAACTTTTGATTATTGATCATTGGTATCACCGTTAGAGTAGAGTACTCTGTAAGTAACATTTAGAACAGAGAAATCTGCAAAATTATTTTGGATGGTCTGTAATCCTCAAGTGCAACGAGTACTATCAGTAGATTTAGTAAATAATGCACCCTTATACATTGTTACTTTTTATAATGCATATTGCTTTTTATATTAACAAAAACCATTTTCTTTCCAAAAAAGTTAAAGTAGTTTTTAATTATTTTTCTCAGGCAGCATCATTGGTAATGCTTATTCTTAATGGAAAAAGTTTGCTCACCTGTGCTATAGTGACCTCCAGTGGGGTCAATTTTTCACCCTGTGCAACAAAGGGATTTGAAGATTAATGTGTGGGAACATAAGACTAGGCCTTATGACACAGGCATGGTTGGAATTTAGATCTTTACCTAAAGCTGAGCCTTGAAGAGCTTTACCTTCAATAAAAGGGTGAACTGGAAGGAAATTTATTCACCAGCATACATAAATAACAGTGAAACTTATCTGTCTTTGCCAGGGTTCCAGATAAGAGTACCCTGTATACTCTTTTTTTTTTTTTTAATTGATTTTTTATAGAGAGGAAGGGAGAGGGATAGAGAGTTAGAAACACCGACCAGCTGCCTCCTGCACACCTCCTACTGGGGATGTGCCCGCAACCAAGGTACATGCCCTTGACCAGAATCGAACCTGGGACCCTTCAGTCCGCAGGGCGACGCTCTATCCACCGAGCCAAACCGGTTTTGGCTACCCTGTATACTCTTAACTATAGACCTAGTCTCATCAAAGTGTGGGTTTCCCTGTACCCAATAAATTAATGTAACAACTGGTACTAGAGGGGTAATAGCATTCAGGGACAGGGCAAAAGTAAATGGAAACCCTCTGGCCCATTCAGGTCCCTGAATTCACAGAGAGAATGCCCTTGTGACAAGCTCAAAATCCTAATTTATAAAATATACAAGGAAACTGCCTACCGTTCATGAGTTAGACGATTTAGAAACAGCAAAATTAGACTCCTAAGAAGGAACAAAACAGAACTTCCAGGTGGTCTTCAAATTTTAAAAAGAAGGAAATCCTACCTTTTGCAACAGCATGGATGGACCTGGGGAATATTATATTAAGAGAAATAATCCAGTCAGAGAAAGACAAATACCATGCGATTTCACTTATATGTGGAATCTAATGAATAAAATAAATTAACAAATAAAATAGAAACAGACCCATAAATACAGAGAACAGACTGACAGGGTTGGGGGGCTGGGTGAAAAAAAAATCCTCATAGACATAGACAGTACTATGGTGATTGCCAGAAAAGAAGGGGCATGGGGGGAGGTAGAAGAAGGTAAAGGGGGAATAAATTGGTGATAGAAGGAGATTTGACTTGGACTGGTGAACACAGAATACAATATACAGATAATGTATTATAGAATTGTACACCTAAAACCTATATAATCTTATTAACCAACTAGAGGCCCAGTGCACGAATTTGTGCACCAGTGGGGTCCCTCAGCCTGGCCTGTGGGATCAGGACAAAACCAGCTGACATCCCCTGAGGGGTCCTGGATTGCGAGAGGGTGCAGGCCAAGCTGAGGGACCCCACTGGTGCATGATCGGGGCCTGGGACGGATGTGGGAGGTTGGCCAGCTTGGGAGGGCCCACAGGAGGACTCCAGGGTGTATCCAGACTGTCTCGCTCAGTCCTGATCAGCTGGACCCCAGCACCAAGCTACCCTACCCACCGACTGTTTGCCCCCTGGTTATCAGTGCACATCATAGCAAGCATTTGAGCAGCCTTAGCATATCATTAGCATATTATGCTTTGACTGAACAGATGACCAGAAGACCGGACACTTAGCATATTAGGCTTTTATTATATAGGATATCAACCCAATAAATTAAACGAAGGAAGGAAGGAAGGAAGGAAGGAAGGAAGGAAGGAAGGAAGGACAGTGGATGACAGTTATCATCTATGAAGTATTCTTGCTAAGAATGATTACAAGTTAAATGTCAAGTTTCTGCCACCTTCCATTTTACAAGAAACACGGAGATAAGCACCATGAGGAAACAAGAGAAATGTGGACATCCTCTAAGACAGTGATTCCCAAAGTGGGCGCTACCGCCCCCTGGTGGGCGCTGCAGCGATCCAGGGGGGCGGTGATGGCCACAGGTGCATTTGTTTTAACTTTTTTTGTATTACCTTTCTATTCTGAGTTCAATAAATAGTTTCATAATTTCAAACTTCAATGTTTCTAATTTACACCTTTCTTTACTATATTTTACGAAAAAGGTAGAAACATTAATACATATATCTTTCTGTTTAATTGCTATTAAAATTTTTAAAAAATTAATTTCCAGGGGGCGCTGAGTAATATTTTTTCTGGAAAGGGGGCGGTAGGCCAAATAAGTTTGGGAACCACTGCTCTAAGATAAAGTGCCTCAATGTGTTGGAGATTAAAAGGTTGGGGATTTCCCTGGCTGGTGTGCCTCAGTTGTTGGGAGCATCATCCCGTGCACCAGAAGGTCGAAGATTCAATTCCCTGTCAGGGCACATACCTAGGTTGCTTGTTCAGTCCCTAGTCAGGGCCATGTATGGGAGGCAACTAATCAATGTATCTCTCACATAGATGTCTCTCTCTCCCTCACCCTCACCCTCTCCCTCTCCCTCTCTCCCTCTCTCCCTCTCTCCCTCTCTCCCTCTCTCCCTCTCTCCCCTCTATCCTCTCCTCTCTCTCCTCTCTCTCTCCTCTTCTCCTTCTCTCCACCTTCTTCCTTCTTTGGAATCAGTAAAATAAAATAAAAAAGTTGTGGATTATTCTACATTAAAAAAGACTAAAGAGACATAACAACTAAATACAGTGTGTGATCCTGGTTATAGATTAGGATGGGGAGAGCTGTAAAAGACATTCTTGAGACTTGGAAAGTTTTTAATGTTGACTGAACATTAGATGTTATAGAATTATTAATTTTTAAAAAAATATATTTTATTGGTTTTTTATAGAGAGGAAAGGAAAGGGATAGAGAGTTAGAAACATTGATGAGAGAGAAAGATCCATCAGCTGCCTCCTGCACACCCCCCACTGGGGATGCGCCCGCAACCAAGGTACATGCCCTTTACCAGAATCGAACCTGGGAACCTTTAGTCCGCAGGCCAACACTCTATCCACTGAGCCAAACCGGTTCGGCTAGAATTATTAATTTTTAAAGTGTGATAATATACAGGAGAATATTTTTATTCTTGGGAAATACATGTGTAAATATTTAAGGATGCATTATAATCATGCCTACAACTTTCTCCCCCTCTTTTGTGAAATACAACTTAATTGTAGAAGTCTCAAGTGTGTACAATTCAATGACTTTCTACAAATGTAACTGCCATGCAAATTATGATATAGAACATGCCAGACCAGTGTAGCTCAGTGGTTGAGCATAGACCTATGAATGAGGAGGTCATGGTTCAATTCCCAATCTGGGAACATGCCCAGGTTGCGGACTCAATCCCCAATAGAGGATGGGCAGGAGACCGCCGATCAATGATTCTCTCTCATCGTTGATGTTTCTATTTCTCCCTCTCCCTTCTTCTCTGAAATCAATAAAAATATCCTTTTTTTTAAAAGATACAGAACATTTCTAGTGTTTGAGAGTATTCTCCTGCCTCCTCCCTCCAACTTCAATTCAGGACCCACCCTCAAGAGTAACCACTATTCTGACTTCTCGATCAATTTGGAACTTATTGTCAAATGATATGATGGAAAACAAAATGTGGGGAGAGAGAGAAAAAAATGAAAAAATTATTTTTAATCTAAGTAGAAGAATTTCTTCTAATAGAGTTAGAAGAATTCAAACAACATAGAATAAAGGAAAACCGGAAAGTTGAAAAGAAACAGTTTTCTCTAGGAAAAAAAACTATTGAATGTATTGATGCTGATTTGAGGAAATAGCAATGTAACATCTATATATATAAAAGGCTAAGCGACTGTCTGACCGGTAGCTATGACACACAATGACCACCAGAGGGGAAGACACTCCGACCGGTAGGTATGACGCACACTGACCACCAGGGGGCAGACGCTCAATGCAGGAGCTGCCAAGCTGCGGTGACTTGGCAGTAGCGGTTCTCGGGTGATGCACCCAGATCCAGAGAGGAGGAAGCCTGATTCTAGGGTGCGTCACCCGAGAACCGCCCTTTTGCAATCCAGGACCCCTCGGGGGATGTTGGAGAGCCGGTTTTGGCTCGATCCCCACAGGCCAGGTCAAAGGACCTGACCTGCTGGAGGGACCCCACTCACTCCACATACAACCTCCAAGCTGCAACACCGCCCCAGGTGCGGCAGGCCAGAGAGGGACTGCGGGAGGTTGGCTCCAGCGCATGTCCGGCCCGTCTCGCCCAGTCCCGCCCCGCAGGCCACCTTCTAATTAATTTCCTTTCAATGTGCACAAATCCATGCACTGGGGCACTAGTTTTAAATAAAATCTCAACATATTAAAAAAAGACAAATGGAATAAAAAACATCTCAACATGTCAAGATCATTACAGCTTACCACAGAGCTGTGTTAAAATGCTTTATGAAAATTATAATGTTTATTTTTAAAATTTCAATGGATGAGGTAAAAAGTTGATAAAACCCAACTGAATGAAGGAAAATATAAAGAAAGGTTAAGTACATGAAGAAGGGAATGAACAATTTCATTATGTGTCTCAAAAAGAATTTCAGAAAGTGAGAATAGAAATAAAGGATTAGAGCAAAATTTAAAGAAATGATGGCTAATATTTATGAAAGACATAGGTCTAAAGATTTGGGCAACATAAGCCCTAAGTTGGTAAGTAAATTTGAATCCATACTTATAAATATAACAAAATGAAAGGACATTGTTTCCAGATCACTTGGGGGGAGGGGCGGAAATTACCTATAAAAAAATTTCAATTTAGATTATTAAAACAGTTTCTTCATAGCAGCTGCAGAAAGCCAGAAAACAATAGAATAATATACACAAAGTGTGATAGATGCCTATAAGTCACTCAGGTAAACTATGAGTTTAGCTAGCTTGGTACGCTATGAGTGAATGCACTATAATGGCCTTTCAGGTAAGGAGTTTACCTCTCCCAGGTTCTGCTTGAACACAGGAAGGAATGAAAAGTAAGAATTAAACCTAAAACTACAGAATTTGTAGAAGAAAACACAGGATAACATCTTTGTGACTTGGAATTTGCAGTAATTTTTTAAATATGCACAAAAAGCACAATCCATAATGAACATACAATAGTCCCTCTTATCCAAGGGGGGTACATTCCAAGACTCCCAGTGGTTGTTGATAAGTTTAATTTATAAATTAGGCACAGTAAGTGATTAACAATTAATAAAATAGAGCAGTTTGCCTGGCCAGTGTTGCTCATTGACCCATGAACCAAGAGGTCCGCAGTTCGATTCCTGGTCAGGGCACATGCCTGGGTTGCAGGCTTGATCCCCCATAGGGGTGTGCAGGAGGCAGCTGATTGATGTTTCTCTATATATATCACTCTTCCTTCTTCTCTCTCCAGAATCAATAAAAACATTAAAAAAATTTTTTTTTAATAAAATTTTTTTTTATATATGTAAAACCAAGTGACTGGAACGACCAGAACAGCCAGTTGCTATGACACACACTGTGACCAGCCGACCAGCCTGATGGGGGCAGGGTCGCCTGCTGACGTCCCGCAGCCCCTCCCACCGCCGGCTCATCCCCAATTGGGCTCCCATGGAGGCGGGGCTGGCAGCCAACCTCCTGCAGTCCCTCCTCCCGACCAGCTGGCCCCAATCTGGGCAGGCTGGCCGGACCCCACCCATGCACGAATTCGTGCACCAGGCCTCTAGTATACTATAAAAGTTATTTGAATGTGGTCCCTCTATTAACATATCTTATTGTACTCTACTCACCCCTCTTGTGATGATGTGAAATTATACAGTGCCTGTGTGATGAGATCCTGTGAGCTGAATGATGGAGACGTTGTGACATTATTAGGCTATGCACTGTACCGTACTGGAATACTATGACTGTCAATAATCTGATAACCAAGATGACTACCAAGGGCTAATAGGAAGGTAGTGTATATAGTGTGGTTACACTGGGCAGAGGGATGATGTATGCCCCAGTTCGATGGTGGGATGGGCTTGCACAAGATTTCATCATGCTACTCAGAACCGCTATGCATTCAAATTTATGAATTGTTTATTTCTGGAATTTTCCATTTAATATCTTTGGACCACAGTTGACTGTGAGTATTTAAAACCTCAGAAAGTGAAACCAGGGAGAAGAGGGGACTACTAAATTGATAAATTAGACTTCATCAAATCTAAAAACTTCTCTTCAAAAGACAGTATTAAGTGAATAAAAGATAAACCACAGAAAAACATGTATCTGATCAAGAACATGTATTCAGAATATATGAAGAGCTCTTAGAATTCAATAACAAGAAAATAACTCAAGCCCTGACTGGTTTGGCTCTGTGGATAGAGCGTTGGCCTGCAGACTGAAGGGACCCAGGTTTGATTCCAGTCAAGGGCATGTACCTGGGTTGCGGGCACATCTCCAGTGGGAGGTGTACAGGAGGCAGCTGATTGATGTTTCTCACACTCTATCCCTCTCCCTTCCTCTCTGTAAAAAATTAATAAAATGTATTTTTAAAAAAATAATTTAATTTAAAAATGGGCAAAAGATTTGAACAGGTACTTCACCAAAGAAGATATATGGATGGCAAATAAACACATGAGAAGATGCTCAACATCATAAATCATTAGGGAAATGTAAAATAAAGGCACAAGATACCAGTACACATCTACTTCAATGGCTAAAATGGAAGAGTGGCCATACCAATTATTGGTGAGGATGTGGAATAACTGCTGGTGGGAATGTATAATGGTACAACCACTTTGGGAAACAATTTGACAGTTTTAGTAATGCAGTCCCTTTCAAAATCTCAAAATTTCCATCCTGAAATTCATGTGGAATTTCAAAGAATCCTAAATAGCCCAACATTCTTACAAAAGAACAAAGTTGGAGGTCTCACACTTCCTGACTTCAAAACTTCTACAAAGATACAGTAATCATATCATTGTGATAGTGGCATAGACAGAGAGACATATAGCCAAATGAAATAGAATAGAGAGCCCTGAAATAAATTATCACATATATGGTCAAAGGATCTTTTATGAGGATACCAACACCACCTAGTGGGGAAAAGGACAGTCAGTTCCACAAATGGTGCTGGGAAAACGGGGTATACACATGCAAGAATGAAGTTGGAACCTTATACAATATACAGAGCTATTTCAAATGGATCAAAAATGTAACAGCCAAAACTAGTACTTTTAAAAGAAAACATTGAGGGGAAAACATAATGACATTGAATTTGGCAGTTTCTTGGATATGACAGCAAAGTCACAGACAACATAAAAATAGAGAAATTGGGCTACATAAAAATTTAAAACCTGTGTCAATCAGAGAATACAGTCAACAGAATGAAAAGTCAATACAGAATAGGGGGAAATATTTTCTAATCATATATCTTGACAAGGGGTTAATATTAAGAATATATTTTGAGAAACTCCTACAACTCAAAAACAAAACAAAAAAACCCAAACAACCCCATTTTAAAAATGGGCAAAGGACTTGAATAGACATTTTTTTCAAAAAAGCTACACAAATAGCCAACAAACATGAAAATATGCTCAACATCACTAATCATTAGAAAATGCAAACCAAAGCCACAATGAGATACCACTTTATACTCATTAGAATTGCTACTATCAAAAAATAAAAACACGTGTTGGCAATAATGTAGAGAAATTGGAATCCTTGTGCATTGTTGATGGGAATGTAAAATGGTGACCACTATGAAAAACAGTATGGAGGTTCCTCAAAAAGCTAAAAATAGAATTACCATATGATCCAGCAATTCTATTTCTGCATATATATATCCAAACAAATTCAGTTGTAGTTTCAAAGAGATTATTTGTACACCTATATTCATAGCAGCATTGTTCACAGTAACCAAAATGTGGAATCAACCCAATTGTCCATCAACAGATGAATGGATAAATAAAATGTGTATACATACAATGCAATATACTATTCAGCCTTAAAATGTATTAGGAAATTCTGATGTATTCTATAGCATTAATGAACTTTCAAGATAATATGCTAAGTAAAATGGACCAATCACAAAAAGACAAATACTATATAATTCCACTTATATGAAGTACCTAGAGTAGTCAAATTCATAGAGACAGAAAATAGAATTATGGTTACCAGGGGCTGGGGAAAGGAGAGATGGGGAGTTGTTTAATGGGCATAGAATTTCAGTTTTGCAGAATGAAGAGCGTTCAGGAGATTGGTTGCACAATAATGTGAATGTACTTAACACATCTAACTGTATGTTTAAAAGTGGTTAAGATGGTTTTATGTTACATATATTTTTTCATAATTAAAACTGTTTTGCAATTTTGTAAAAAGTTAAACATGCATGTAGCTTATGATCCAGCCACTTACTTCTATTTACCCAAGAGAAAACATATGCCAATACAAAGATTTGTACAAAAATGTCCTTAGTTGCTTTATTTGTAATAGTCTAAAATTGGTCATAATCCAAATGTCCATCAACAGTTGAATGGTGAAACAAATTGTGGTCTATTCATAGAAAGACATGCGCTACTGATAAACACAACTATAGTTTACAAGTATAGTGGTGTACTATACTGTACCAAAAGTAGGTTTGCCTGGATCAAAGAGAGAAATTTACATTTGTAATTCTGAACTATACTTTCAAATTTTGCTTCATAGTTCTAGCTTAATTTTACACTGCTACCAGCAATGTATGAGATGCCTGTTTAAGATCACCTCATCAATGGAATATGTTATTGATCTTTTGGATTTTTGCCAACATGATAAGTGAAAACTATCCTGACAAGTTTGAGTGCTTTTTTCAGTGAGGTTGAACACCACCTTTTCATATGTTTGAAGGCTGTTTATATTTCTGTTTCTGTGAACTGTCTTTCATGTCCTTTGCCCATTTTTTTATTGGGTTGTTGGTCTTGATCTCAATTTTTCAGGAGCTCTCTCTATATACAACATACGCCTATTACATGAGTTGCAGATATTTTCCAAGACAAATCCAAATCTGATGAAAGACTCAGTTGCTCACTCTGACATAAAATTTCGGGGAGGAGGGTTCATGGAATCTGAAGCCCATGTATGGATTGCTGAGGAGCCACTTTTAAACATGCATGTAGCATATGATTCAGCCTTTCTACTCCTATTTACCTAAGAGAAAACATGCAAAACGGGTTTAATTGTGGAAAAACATATGTAACATAAAGGCTCTCAGTTTTGTTTAGTTGAATTTACTATTTTTTCTAATATAGTTTTCAGGTTTTGCATCATAATTATAAAGGCCTTCGTCACTTGAGGTTGTAAAGGAGTTTGCTTTGCTTTCTTTCAGTTCTTTTATGATTGCCCCTTCCTGCTTTCGTCATTTAAATCTTTGTTCCATTTGTAGTTTACCCTAGTATACAGTATGAGGTATGGATGAACCTTTTTTCCCCCTAGATTCAATCCAGTTGTCCCAACATTAATTATTAAAAAGTCAATCTTTACCTTATTTCAGATGCTGCCTTTATTTTACTCTAATTTCCTTTATGTGTTGGAATCTGTTTTGGACTTTTCCACTGGTCTGTTGGTCTATTGAACAGGTGCTATCATGAAGGAGCAAGGAGTACAAAAAAATCAGCCTACAGAAATGGAATAAAGGAGTGATTGATAACTTTGTTTTGGTGGTAAAGTGGAAAACCAATTTTTTGCCTGCTGATGAAATATACATACACCTTGAAATCAACCTGTGCAAGAGAAACATAAGGGAGCATAGCTGTATTTGAAAATGGCAATACAGAAGTGTATGAGGGAAATTACCAAAGGACCTGAGGGGTAGATAGTCCCAGTTCATTGAATGCTTTATATGCCATACAGAATTTTAATTTTGATTTAAAAATAGTGGAACAATTGTCAGCATACTAATGAAATGTAAGATTATATTTGGGGAGGAGGGTCTAAATCTGAGTTCAGTGGGCTCCTCAGCAATTCCTACATGGGCTTCAGGTTCCATGAATCCCCCTCCCTGAAATTTTATGTCAGAGAGAGCATTGGAGTCTTTCATCAGATTCTCAGAAATCTGACACACACAAGAGTTAAGAATATCTTCTTTTAAAACTAAATTAGGGTTGCCAATCAAGAAGTATTTGCATTAGAGTAGGCAGAATATGAGTAGTAGAGGGGAAAAGTGAGCTTTTCCCTTCAGTTCATTATTTCTAGAAGGTATGGCTAATTCACAATATTTATGTTCTGTAAAATTGCTGCAAGCACTGAATTAGTGAATACTGACCCATTTAGTCAGGGCAAATACAGGGTTGCTGTTATATAAATGAGGCAATGATGGCCTCTGAATAGTGACCCTTAGGTGGTTTGTGGTTGGGGTTTTTTTTCACAGTCTGCTGGCGTCCATTAGCATAAAAGCCCGCTGGCATAGGACACTTGTTTACCGTTTACTGTGTGAGAGCTAGAACAAGAAGGCAGAGTGTCACCTTTTCCAGTCTCAGCTGAGAAGGTACATGTTCAGCTTGCTGCTCTACACATGTTCGCAAAAGCATTACAAGTATTGATTTGGGGGTTACAAATTTTAGCAGGTAGACAAACCACAAGTGCAGAATGCATGAATAAAGAGGATCAACTGTACCAATCCAATCTCATGCATACTTCCAGTGATGAGCCTACTCATTCATGAGAAACTTTTCCCTTGCTGGGTAGTTTTAATGGTTATATTGTTCCAAATTTGGGATCCTACTTTTTTCTGATTGTAGGTCCTAATTTGGCTTTCTGGATTGTTCTCCCTTTGATATACTATTTAAATTCAGCTGTCTTATATCTACTCTTACTCCATTTTGCCCCTGTAGCATGAAGATTCTTTAGAAACTTTTGGTTTGCTAAGAATTACGTGATTTAAAAAAATGGAACCTTTAATTTTATTATTAACTAACACATCCCCTGTACCTCCACTGCCCTCCACCCTCACCATTAAAACCTGAACTTCTGCTGCACCACTGTAGTCCACATTGTGTTTGTTCTCTTTCAGTTGCAAATTACTCAGATTCACTGGGGAAGGGGGCTTGAAGAAGAAAAAGCCAAAATAGGGATGACCTCAAGTATATAAACTCTTTTATCTCTTTCCAGGGGTCCCAGTGCCTTTTCTACTTCTCCCCAGGTTAGCTTCATTCTGTGTCCAGATTTCGTCAATGCAGTGGGAAAGATGGCCACTGGGGCTCCAGATTTCTATCTGCTTGGCACACTGTAACTATAGTAAAAAGAGGAACTTCTCTCAGCCAGTTCCATTTATCAGTTAGGGAGGAACTCTGATTGTATTGGGGTCATATATCTATTTTTGGATCAATTGCTATTGCCAGGGATACAGGACACTGATTAGCCAGCTTATGTCATGTGTAGCTAGAAAAGTAGTGACCCTTGATTGAGAGCCTCTCCTGGAATTTTTAAGGAAGGGCAGGTTCCCTAGGGAAACAGGAGTGCTAGTCAACTAAACGACAAATATCAGTTACACACATAAGACAAGTATTTTTTTCTCTCCTATGTTTAGGATCAGTAATACATCTCTTAAGGACCATCAGTGTGATTGAAGGATTGCAGTTTTTAGTTTTAAACAGTGTTGGATCAAAATTGATTTTGCTTTAAATGTTGACATTATAGTTACTCAGTAGTGGGTACATAGTGATCTGTTATATTTTCTATTCTCTCTTATATGTTTAAAATATTTTATAATTTTAATGAACTAAAATTCGTTGTAAGTTGGTGAATAATAATACATATCTGTCATAGTTTCCCTTTAATAGTAAGCTGTAGAAATTATGTTGTATCTGATATAGGTAAGTTATTTTTTTTAAATGTGAAAAACATATTTATTTCCTTTGACCTCATATCATGCATTATGATACTGTAGGTACCTGGCAAGGG